AAAACTTGAGAGCATTCAAAAATATTCTGATCAAATCACAACACCAAAGTGTTATAAAAAGTATTTTGATGTTGAAGCTGAAACTCCAATACTTTGGCCACCTGATGCGAAGAGCTAACTCATTTGAAAAGATCCTCATGCTGGGAAAGACTGAGGGCAGGAGGAGAAGGGGACGACAGAGGATGAGATGGTATCACCGTCTCAATGGACGTGAGTTTCGGTAAACTCTGGGAGTTGGTGATGGACAGGGAGGCCTGGCGTGCTGCGGTTCATGGGGTCGCAAAGAGTTGGACACAACCAAGCAACTGAACTGAACTGAACTGATGGACACGTACAGGTAACACCATCATTTCTCTTGTATTTAATACTTCCAATTGAAAGAGGATGTTTAAAAAGCACCTGTCAAAAACAACTTAATAAGCAAACTTAATGGTTTAGATGTTTTGTACGGTAGATGTCATGCATTTCTTAAATCACTGAAAACATAACTTTCCTATAATATTTTCAAACACCAGAAATGATATTAATCACAACCTCATAGTTTATTTTTCCCATGTTATCATTCATGAAGCTCTGCTTGTTTTTACAGTTGGGAAGTTAGTATGATTTAATTCTGTGGAGTAGAGAAAAGGACATGGTTTCTGCATCACGAATTTTGCTAATTGTATTTTCTCTGAATTTAACAAAAATAACGTAATGCAACCCATTTGAAATAGACTTTTAAAAGCATTGTATCTGTCTGATTAATCATGTTTCCTGCATTGATTTATTCAAAACATGCATAAGGTAAAGGATTTGAATCATGTATTTATAAAGCCATATATACTTTCATCATTTGGGCTTTCAAATAAGCCCAAACCCCTAGTGTACATCCTGAAAAGGTAGAAAGGCTAACTTTGTTTTCTAATAGAGCTGTGCCAAATAACTCTCCTGGGCAATCATGCCGACAACAAACAATAAAGGCCCTGCCGTAAAACAGCATGTTTTTATGGCATGATGCCAGGAAACTGAGCTTTGCAGAGAAATAAATGGCACCAACTTAAAATATGGGCACAAAGGCAAATAGAAAATATGGAATTTATTGCTATGAAATCTAACTAACCATGTATTATAGCAGTACATTGGGAAAAATATAAATGCTCTGAGCCCACTAAATAAGCATGAATGATGTGAAGGCATTTGAGTTGTACTGCATGTGAGCAGCTGTCTTGAAACCTCCTGAAATTGGTTCCCTTTTCCAATTTAGAAAAGAGAAAGAGACAAAAGTTGGGCCAGATTGAGAGAAATCACAAACAAGAGCAATATAAATGAGTCTCTTAGCGTCAGCACTCCATCAAATGTCATTTTCTGCTGCATTTTCATTATGCAGTTCCAAGGGCTACCTTTTGACATCAATTAATACCTTTGGAAGGAATGTTTGCTTTTCTAAAGAAAAGCGAGTGCTGATCCTGAAAAAAGTATTCAATTCATGTACAGTGTCAAAGAGTAGAAGGAATCCAATTTCATGAAGAAAAATAGAAAAATACACTGCAGCTTGTCGCTTTCATGCTATTGGCACATTTCATTTTAATTTAAAATTTCTCACAAGTAATACTAAATATTTGCTGCCTCCAATCAACGGGAAGTGCCCCATCAGTACATGTCTCCTACCCCTCAGAACACTCAGATAGCACCATTTACCACTGTAAGTCTTCCAAGGGACCAGTAATGGCCAGCATTCAGATTACAGCCGAAGGGAGATCACAGACCATAAACTAAAATAAAATAAAAACAAGAGTGTAGGGACAACTCATGGGCATTTGGGTTTGTCTGGAGACTTGCATGAGTATTTGACTAGTCTTAGTCTAGAAAAGTGAGGAATAGTGCAGGGAAATTAATGAAGCTAGAAAAGCGGAGAATTCATGAATTCAGGAATTCCCATGTGAGAGTCCCTTTTCCTAGAACACTGGATTTATCTCATCCTGGATAAGTCTGTTCACCTCCAAATTCCTCTCACAGGCCCCTCCCCTAGGAAACACCCCTGGACTTTATGCCTCCCTACCGTGATGTGAGTGAGGAGCCTCTCCCTTCATCCACTTTCCTGCTGCTAATCGTGTTACATTATCATTGCCCACTCGTCTCAGCCACTCACCCTCCCAGAAGCTGGGAGAACAAGACCCATGACCTGCACCCCATGCACCCAGTATAGAGGCACAAACTGAAATTTCACTAAATGAATACAAGTAGGACCAACGTCTGAGGACAGGTTTTCTACTGTGTAAACTTCCTTCTTTTAAAAAAAGAATTTCAGTTGTCCTGCAAAGTAGATTCTAAAAAATTTATGCAAATCACAAATACCTTCCGAAATGAAAATGATGATATCCTTTATAAAGAAAGAAATGTGGTAACACATATTTCTATTTTTCTCAAAGGAAAGTTAGTTGGCACAGAGAAAATAGGGAAGACTAGAAATTTTATGCCCAACACTGTTTCTCAGAAGCCAAGAAATCTACATGAGATTGTGTCTTCCACTGAAAAAATGGAGCTCATCCTATCTGTGCTTGCTATCTTATGAAATTGTTGAAAGGATAAAGTAAGTTAATGAGAGAAATAAAAGCACTTTTAAAGCTTTAAATTGGTATATTAGGGGTATTAAGATGCTAAAAAGGCATAAATAGGATTTACTTATGTAGAATTTTCTCCTTATTTGTCTTATACAGGGTAAAAATTGAGGAATATATTTTGGTGACAACTTTGGGCTTCCTACGTGGCTCAGATAGTAAACTGTCTGCCTGCAACGTGGGAGACCCAAGTTCGATCCCTGGGTTGGGAAGATCCCCTGGAGGAGGAAATGGCAACCCACTCCAGTATTCTTGCCTGGAAAATTCCACGGACGGAGGAGCTGGTAGGCTACAGTCCATGGAGTTGCAAAGAGTTGGACACGACTGAGAGACTTCACTTTCACTTTCACTTTTGACATTGACATTGTCACTGCCTATACTTGAGCGTAAGTAGGATTTGGAGGGCCTATAACCTTGATCTATTTTAGTTACCACACCACATCATCAAATACAGAACTTTAATGAGACTTTAGGTTCAAGTCTCTTTTGTGTTTCCTTGTGATGGAGTCAGAATTCAGTACAAAGAGAAAAAACTGCTCATGCCTGTTGCAAATACTTTTAACATGGACAGCGTGCTGATTCTGAAAAGCTCCTTGGTGGACCGAAAGCAAAACATATCTCCAGTTGCCAGGTTCTTTGTTGCATTCCTGCACAAGGCAGAATAAAATCAAAGATGACTGGTCCTAAATGGTGTCCACTGTGGTGTGAGACTCCACTTGGCAGGCATCGCAGAGTTAGCTGTGACATGACTGGTTAGACTACAACATAATTAATGATACTACAACTTTACTACTCTGGCCATTAGACACTTAATAGCATCCAAACATGCAGAATTCAGAATTATAATGATGACATGCTTTCAAGAACAGTGAATTAAATCAATTACACAAGCACTTGATTGATATTCATCACAGTGAGAATGTACTCTAAAGTCTCCTTCCCCTCGCTCATGGTCCAGAAGTGACACAAACATGGCAGAGGCTGTGTTGTCTGAAGGCCACCCCCGTGCCATTGCAAAGATCTTGCTGCACAAAATTTCAAGATGGTGCACCTGTGGTCCCATTGGCTTTCTAGCCCAGCCACTTGAAGTGTGATAACTCATTAGTTGGAGAAATACTTGCTCAAGTGTCTACAAGCCAGAGCAGTAATGTGGCAGTTATAAATTGCTTCCTGTCCATCACAGAATATAGAAATTTCACACTACCCTTCACACTAATCACAATTCTTCCCTTGAAAATAGATTATTTGAACAATTCCATTACTGAGATGCCCACTAACCTTTCTTTCTTTGGAGAAGCGTGCAGGAACCATTCAAAATCATTGTGTCACCCCTGCTACACTCCATGATATGAGTTCTTTGACTAGAATTTAACAACTCTGCCAGAGAGAGAGCAGAGAGTGTATGGCATTTGTTTATTGAGCTCTAAATCCTTTGGTTTTTTTCCAAAAGATCACTTGCCCTGTAAGATTTAGTTTTTAAATTTCTATAATATTATATTATATCCTTTTAAAGAATAACTCAGTGAATGTTTAACAATTCAAAATCATAGAACTATATGGTACTAGTTGGCACAAGTTTATGTGTCCTTATGTAATTCCTTATCTTTATATCCATCAGTCTCTACAGCAAAATCACAAACAGAGCTCTAAAATCCTTTACTTTCATAATATGTCAAGCAAGACCTACTTCTAAATAAAGAAATATTGTGCCATCTACATCATTTCTACATCTTCTGGGTCAGATACCACATGACTTCCTAATCTCACCTCTCACACCCTGCAATTACTACCTCTGAACCCCACTACGCCGCGTCACACACATACTCACATTTTTACATGTACACTTCATCCAAACCAGCCAGGCTCCTAATCTTTGAACATGGTTTATTTCCTCTCTATCTCTTTTTGCTTTCATTCTTTTACTCTCAGCTAGAATGTACTTTCTCCTTTTTTTTTTACCAATTCAAATCCTGCCATGTCAAGCTCCATTGCTTCTGAGAAGAATGGGATTCTTGATTAACTGAATCTACCGTTCATCTTAACCTTACTTTGAATATGGCCATTGGTTACTTATACATAATATGTATCACACCAGTGTGGGTTTTTGCAGGTTGCCTCAGAGGATTCCAGGTGCTCCAGGTGGTCATGTAGCATCTTCCAGGTAGACTTTCAGCTACTCAGGACCAGGACCTGTCTACTCAACTGGCTCCGCTTCCCCATTCCATGCTATGCTCAAAGGAGGCACTAAAGACATTTTGAAAAACTGATTGAAGACCTTTTAAAAAATGAATAACTGTCCATTGTTTGGGATATTCAGGTGATTTTTAAAGATGCTAAGGTCTTAATTTTCACCATTCTGGATTCGTTTTAATCTCCCTTAGTGTATGGCTGTATACTTACCGGAACAGAAACTTGAGGATTATCCACAAGTTTTCCCAGCACAGCAAAGCCATCAACATTAATCTGACCTCTTGGCTTTATCGGTAAGGACTCAATCCTGTTGCAGTCAACGAAAAGAGTCGCGCTGCTCCGTTCCACGCCAATCATGAGCTTATGCCACTGGGAATCGAACAAGGAGGGCAAATTCGAAAAGGCTGCAGTTTGGAGACTTCCATCCAGCCCCTTGTATGAAAATGAAACAGATTTTGTTTGGCCATTAATCTTCACGCCAACTTGCTCCTTCCCTGAGGAATCCTGAATCTGCCAAATGCTCCAGTGCTTTTCAAGTGTGCTTCCAGTCATCCGAAAAGTGGTTAGAAAGGAGTATTCTTCAGGCAGCCCACTGGGATACAAATGCCTGAGTAAAATTTTAAGACAGTAAATATAACTCTTGTTTTTTGTACTCAGGAGTTTTACCATAATTCCTAATTGTGCTATTTTAGATTCTAGACCTACAGAAACACCACAGTGTGAAAACCATGGGCTAGTTGTTCTTTCATGAGTGTTCATAAAGACCTTTACTGAAGTCCATTTACAGGCATCAAAGTTCCATCTTAAAATACATATTAAATAAAAAACTCCCTCATAGCTAAGGAAGGTCCCCAAATGTCACATAATTTCAACAGTGTTACTATTTATACTACCTAAAGAGCTACTGTTCAGCAATCCCAGCTCAAAAACACATTCTGCCAAAAAACACATTCTTGCAAAGTTCTTGGCAACATTCTTCCACAAATGACAGAAGAGAACGTTTGAAATCCAAATCAGATCTACCAATTTACAACATGTTTAATTAAAGCAGGTTCTTAAAATTTTATTTTGATGTAACATGTTAAGATTATTTGTTATTTTCATAATTGTTTGGATTTTCTCCTCCCCAAATATAACCTAGACTCACATAAGCATTTTGAGGATCGGTCACTTGCAGACGTGAGATAAGTTACTTCACACTGAGCATGTTTGTCTTTTCCAGGAACTTCAAAGTGAGAAGTTAAAGTAACAGCTGGTTGCTTGTCAGTGGACGTGGGACAAACGAAAGATGACCAGTTCTTACTTCTCTATTGCAACTCAGTTGTTCCTCAATCTGCCAGTTAAAACTGTGGCCCCTTCCTGATTTACTGCTTTAAGTGACACCAATAAGACGTCAGTGTCCCTCCTGCATCCTCCTCATCTTTAGAGGTAGCCGTCTGGAGCAGCACCAGCTACTTGGGTGGTCTCTTGAAACCAAGCAGCTCAAGGCTGAAGACCAAACTTTTAAAAATCAGGATCTAGTAAATGTAAATATCACCTTCACATCTCTGTCTTCAAGGTTGTATCATTCTAATTCCCTCCTTGTAAGCCTAGAAAAATTATTAAGCGAACGATAAATCTTAGGAAAAGTGAAGTCTCTCAGTCATGTCTGACTCTTTGAGACCCCCATGGACTGTAGCCTCCCACGCTCCTCCATCCATGGGATTTTCCAGGCAAGAGTGCTGGAGTGGGTTGCTATTTCCTTCTCCAGAGGATCCTCCTGACTCAGGGATCGAACCTGGGTCTCCCGCATTGTAGGCAGACGCTTTACCATCTGAGCCACCGGGGAAGTTTAGGAAAACTAGATGCCAATTAATTTTGTTTGACATTGCTTAAAACAGTTATGGACCAGGACCCAAAGCCTCAGATAATCTTCCTTCAGATCATACTCCAGTTTTATAGCCCTCTTCTGTGTAAAGAAGAAAAGATAAGAAATATCTAAGTGGATAGTGGTTTATTTATTACAAACTAGTATGGTGGTGGTCATGGTGATTTAGTTGCTAAACCATGTCTAACTCTTGTGACCCCATGGATTGTAGCCTGCCAGGCTCTTTTGTCCACGGGATCTTCCAGGCAAGAATACTGGAGTGGGTTGCCAGTTCCTTCTCCGGGGGATCTTCCCTATCCAGAGATCGAACCCAGGTCTCCTGCATTGCAGGCAGATTGTTTTCTGACTGAGCCACCTGGGAAGTGTCAACACATAAAAATGTATTGTGTTGGCATATGTGCAATTCCAGTTACATTAAGATATATTGTTGGGGTCAAAAGAATCCCTAGACCAAAAGATACCTCAGTTCCAAGAATGTTTAGCTATAAGTGAAAATATTCAACTTGCTATGATTTTCTGCCCTTAACTATAAAAATTTTATCATCTTTATTAAAGCATAAGCAAACATATAACTTTTTTCACTTCAAATATTTTTGCAAATCTTCAATAAAATGGGTCAACTAGGTCAAAAAGTGTCATTGTTTTGTTAGTTTTATAAAACTAACAAAAATGTGAAGCTTTTCTTTTTTTTTGAGTACTCTTATCATCCAAGTACTTCTTTTAGCCATTGTTTTCTAATATGACTGGCTTTTATTTATAATACTGGGTAAATTTCATTTGCAGCTTTTATTTTTAACTGATTACTTGTGATGCTTATTATTCTCTTGGAAAAGCTTTCAATTCTCTACATATATTTTATATTTGTCATGTGTATGGGAGGTTTAAACATGTACATTTAAAAAGATTCACTTTGGAGCTTAAGAAGAAAAAATATATACAGCAACTATTTACTATCCTATTTCCCCCAGATGGGGATGTCTAATATACATATTTCAATATTTTTTAACAGAGATTGTTTCCTTTGACTTAAGATTTTTCAGACTGTACTTATTCCAGGGAGCCCTCTGAGAAGAAGCTAAGAGGTTCACTGATGACAGTTTAAGCTACTGCCTACTGTGTGTAATTATAAAACCTTACAGAATGCTGTACACCCCATCTAACTAACTAAATTAATTTGGAACTAGGAGATACATTTTAAAGTTTTATTCAATGGTGAAAATTGGCAATTTTGCAATTTAAATTACATAATAGTCTTCTGCATATTCTTTTCAATAATTGACCTGAATTTAACTGGATACTTAAAGAACTGGGGCCAGTAGTTAAAAATAGTTATTGTTGAGGTGTGAGGTTATCCAAGAAAGAGGATAAACCCTAATGTTTTGTCTCCTCTTACTTAAAGCATTAACTTCCTAGGCTTTTAAAAACTGTACATGTCACCTATTATTTGTTTAAAGATGTACTGGGAAAAGCTGTAGAATTTCATCAAGGAAAACAAGTCTATTTGTTTTGATTCTAGAAGTCACTGTAACTTCTTCACACGACTCCTTCACAAAGACATTGGGAGGTTAACTGAAGGATCTCTCCCAGTTTGTGCTTCATCAAATGTTCCTGCTAAATAAGCAAAGAGATTATGTTGAAGGTAGGATACGACAAAATGTGTTCATTTACTTCTGACTTGGTCACGTAATGACAAGTTGTTTTTTTTTTTTTATGGGAAGCATTGGGGTCACTAGAAAACAATTCATTTATGGACATATTGTTAAGTCAAGAGTATCCAGCTCTCTATCTCTCCATATATGTGAATATAATATGTGTGTATACAAATATAATCAAGATTGTCATGTTATTAATCTTTCAAACTAAGTTAATGCATTAAAAGGTAAGAGGAGAAACATAGTAAGAAGAGAAAATTCCTTTTAGTGTTCAGATTGGTTATATATATACCTGTACTTAAATATACCCAAGACCGTTTAAAACTCCTCACAAGTCTAATTCATAGAACAGCTAGCCCCCTTGTCTTTTTTGGATACCTAAGTTTCTGTTCTTGAAAATATGCTATGCACTTCGATAAGTAAACTTGACAGTGTACATAATTTAAAAGAGGCTGAATCTATAAATGATTTATTTCATTATGCTACAGTCTGCACAGAATATCTTAAAAGGAGAATCATACAGTTTGAATAAAAGATAAGAAGTCCTTGGACCATGGAACATTTATTTATGACCTTAACCCATGAAAAGCTAAAGATTGTATTTGTTGCTGCAAACAAACACAAATGTCTGAAGCACGAGATGAGAATGTAAAACTCTTATGCCTAAAATAAAGAATTAAAAGCATCAAAATTATGTGGTTATGAATATTATGATTCTGTCCTGTTAGCTCCATGTGCTATAGTCTTTCTCTCACAAAGATCAGCCTGTATTCTCCAGCTACAGAAATCCCCTTAAAATTAAGGCAGTCCACTGCATGCATGGTTTGAGAACAATTCCAGTTTCTGCCTTTTTTGAGCAGGTCTGCTTCGACTTCCCTGGTGCCTCAGATGGTAAAGTGTCTGACCCGGGTTCGATCCCTGGGTTGGGAAGGTCCCCTGGAGAAGGCAATGGCAACCCACTCCAGCACTCTTGCCTGGAAAATCCCATGGACGGAGGAGCGTGGGAGGCTACAGTCCATGGGGTCGCAAAGAGTCAGACACGACTGAGAGACTTCAGTGGGATGGTGCAGGGCAGCTCAAAGAGAAAGGGTCCTTAAGGTGAAAAGACCCCCGCAGCACCTCTGCCCTCTAGCGCTCTCACTGTTACAGCAGACACCTCACCAGTGCCCCTGTATGCCAGGCTCTCCTGGAGCCCTCTCAATTTAGTGACATTTACTCTTCATGGCAACCAGTGGCATTTTTACTATTATTCCTAATTCTAACCTGAGTGAACTGGGTCAAAGGCAGTTTAAGCAACTTGCCCAAGGCACTCCATCCATCTCAGCCCTGCCTCTCCTCCTTCCCTTTTTATATCTTTCTCCTACTTTCTTCTTCTACTTCCTTCCTCCTTCTTCCTTCGTATCTTAATAAGTTAAACAAGAGCCTTTAGTCTTTGTGGGGACAGGGAGTAAGAAAGAGAGAATATGGGACATTAGTTGTAGCCTATGAAAAATATTTCATGACCACTTTAGGTGCTTAGAGAAAAACAGCAAGAAAGACAAACAGGAGGAAGGAAGGCTACTTGGCCTCCACCTAGGAACTTAGAGTTAATGACAGTCCAGACGGTACCTTAAATTTAGAGAAGAAAGGTCAGCATTAAAGGTCTGGTGTCATGTTCAATCATTTTATTAAAGAAATAAAAATCAGGGTATTCAAAAGCTTATTTAAGAATACATCCAGCCCTTCTGTACATGAAAAGAAAATATATGAAAAATATCAATGGCTATTATCATGCTTTTAATCTTTCCAAATGCAACTGGTTTCCAGGGTCACTATGGAGTAGCGGTTAGAGGCACAGCCCCTGAAACAATTCTGCCTGGATTTCAGTCCTCTTAGCACCTCCTCACCCTGTGACCTTATGCAAGTAACTCAAACTTTCTGGCCTCAGTTTCCTCTTCCATGAAATATGGATAAAAATGTCCCCACCACAAAATTGTAATAAGGATTCAATTTGATGTTGATTAGTAAATCTAGAAAAAGAGCTTATACATGTACTATTATTGTTTTATAAAATATAGTATGTTCAAAACATGAATTTCTGTATGCAATCTGGCACTAAATCAGAATATTCTAATTTTGCCAAAATGTTCACTATTATAAATGCTTAGCATTTCTATGATATTCTTTTACTGTTCTAATTAGTCATTATTTACCTTTACATTTTAATTTCTATTGAAGTCCTAATTTTCTTGTTCATATACCAGAGGACTCTTAACCACATTTTTTACAGTGCCCTAAAACATTCAATCAGCATCATTATCACATTTAAGGTATTTAGGTGATATAAAGCTGAAAACCCTGACGCTCATTCATAACAATGTCATGACTCAATACTTTCACATGCATTAAAACACCTCAGTTATAAATGATTTAGAGAAGAAAAAGCTTAGCTCCAGAGAAGGACATACAGGATTTTAAAAGTATTATCACTGCCATTGTTTCTCTTATCATTATTCTAGTTTTAGTTTTGTCTGGATTCTGCCAGGAGCCAAGCATTGGATGTGTGGATCTATTTCAGCACCAGGATGCTTGAACAGCGCCATTGTGAGCCTTCTAACCACTGGGTGGTTTCTAGTTAAATTTATGCTTAACCCCTGGCACTTTTCACAGAGGGTCCTTTCAGGCAAAAACCAGACAAATTATAGAAAAACAGAGAGCAAAGTAATAAGAACATGTCCTGAATCAATGTATAATAGTCTCAGTGATTTTTTTTCCTGGAATGGAAAGTAAATTACACTCTGAAAACATGAAAAGCATTCACATATTTGGACACTAAAGATAGTAGGCAAATAAATTCCTTCATCTTTAAATAAAGTCATGGTCCAAGAAATATTGAGCTGGGGAAGACTCTCTAACATTGGATAGATTTTCATTTTTTTAACTGTGTTTGAGGCAAATAACTAAATCAAGTATTTTTTTTTTATATTACCTGGTTGGAATCCTGAAGTCTACATTATTTCCCAGCTTGTAAGCCACCTGTAAGGCAGTTGATCCAACTACCCTCTGGATAGCTCTTCTGGATGCTGCTTTATCTATCTGGAACTGAGAAATCAAGTCATATCCTACAGAAAGGGAACACAAGATAAAAGTAAAATGAGACTGGTTTCATTCCTCTCCAAAGCCTTCCAAATAAAAGATGCATCAGGTAAATTTATAGAAAGCATGCGTGCTCAATATGATACACTGCTCCTCACCTGGTAAATCATCTTGTCCAATCCTGACCTTTGGACAGAGTTCATTTTCACCATTAGAATCTGAATTAACAGGGAACCCTGCAAAAGAGATAGCATGTCATCTTACCTCAACCCCTACAGAGATCATAGGAATATACCAATAATAATAAGAGCTGAGCAACTATTTAAAATGCAATATTATACGAAACAGCTTCATTACTAGTAGTATATTTGGCTTTAACTCTACAACTCTATGATTATAATTTATTCATATTCAATCCATCCTGGGTTGAAGACACAAAGTTGCTTTAATAACTTGTGTTGGGAAAATGTTCCCTTTGGGGAAGTTTGGAATTTGTTCTTTTTGGAACCTCATCTGCATGATGTTCTGAATGGCACAGTGTCAGAAGCCTATTTGGTTTGGGCTAGAATATATTGCTTTAAGCACCACAAATTTTAGCAATCCTGAGAGAATCCAGAGCCAGTTCAATGGCACTTCTGAGGAGTAGAGTTCTTAAGAATCTTTGTCAAATAGAGGAAGGAGCTGAGGATTTCTTAGGACTCCCTAAGCCTAGATAAATAGAGACAATGCACTTGATTTCATAAATTTCTTCTAAGAGATCAAATAAAGGTTCCAACTAGAATATTACCAGCATCTTAGAATGGGGAAAAATAGTGAGGAGAAGAAAAGAAATCATGCGAGTTAAACCCTCAATCACAAGGAGTACGAAAAATCCTAGAATGAAATTTGGCGTTTCTTAGCAAGTAAAAGGTTGTAGGGAGGGACTCTTTTTTTCAACAACACAAAAGGCTTCTTGTAACTGTCCAAACCCAGTGCCCTTCTGAGACTCACCTGGTGACAGACACTTCCTAGATTTCAGAAAAAGCATTTTCCAGTTACATAGCTTTGGCCTGCAATTTCAGTACATCAAACATACTCTTTATACCTCATCTGACCTCAGATTATTGGCTTCTATCTATTCATCCATCCATCCACCTAACATTACCAACCACCATCTGAACCAGGTTGGTGCTGGGCCAGACACAGGTGAGGTTTCCTGCCCAGCTGTGGTCACAGCCAGGACTTTTGCACACGCAGCACTGAACATGGGCATCAGATACACCCACAGCCAAAGCAGGACTGAAGAAGGAGGGTGTGAAGGACCCTGGCTGCCTCACTCAGCCAGACCTGCCTGGTCCTTTCAGGGAACAAGAAGTATTTTGAAATCGAGAAACTGGGACCTCTTACTTGGGCGACGCTTGACAGTCACTGATGCCCAGGTCCCCAGGAAACTGCAAACAAAGAAGAGAACTGGAATTTTCCTGCAGAGGAGAGAAGAAAATCGACTTAAACAGGAGTCCCTCCAGGTGGGGACTATGCCACTATTTTAAAAGTGGCACACCTGATGAATGCAGGAGACTGGTCCTCAGTCTAGTTTATTTTTTCCATTTTCCTTATTAAATTCAATTGAGAGAGTTAATGAATTCCGTTTCACAACTCCTATTCTAAAATGATCATGAGACTACTGGTTTCTCCTGTCTCGCTTTCCCCATATCTACCTGTCTTGCTAGACACATCTACACCTCTATCTCTGTCTCTGCATTCTTTTATCTTCTTTTTCTGCCTCTCCATTTTGGCGGCTGTCTCTCTTCTCTCTCTCGTTTTCGCTCTTTTCTCTCTCGCTCATCTATCTCTCTGTCTCCCTCCTCTCCCCTGCCCACCTTCTCTCCTCCCATCCTACCGCTACTTGTGAAAACACAGACCCCCGGCTCTGAGCGCCCCCAGTCCAGTCTCCCCACCACTGTTTTCCATCTCAAAGTCTTACCACAAGCTCCTCATTTTCCCAACTGGCTTTCCTTCGTTGCCAACAGTCCCAGTGAAGATGGGACTGTAGGGGAGCTGATACTCCCCCAAGACACCTTCAGGGCCACCCCAGGGTTGAGTTCTGGGCCAGCTTTCGTCCCTCCTGCCCTTGTGAGGGCTAAAAGCAAAGGGAGTGGACCAGAGGCATCTGCTGATACTTTAAGCAAAAACAGAAGGAAGGGGTGGGGAGATGCCGTCCAGTAAAGCCAGGCCTAGTCAGGGGTGTGTCCCCAAAGCTAACGAGGTTATACAGAAGGAGGGACTAGTAAGGGAACGTTTGCTGAAAAGAGAAAAAAAAAAACAGGATGTGGAGAAGTTCACAGGCAAGCTACTATAAGGACACAGTGGAAACTTTGAGAACTGCTATAGGAATACAGTGGAAGCTTTTAGAGGAAAGCAGGGATATGGGGATTCATGGGGGCCCTGGTACCCAATCAACCTTTTTCTGAATCTCCATCTGTTCTGACACTCTTCAGTTGTATGTCCTCCAGCAAACTGGTTAATACATCTGTAGCTCTGTTGCCTTAACTGCGAAACAAGTTGAAAATAGTTACCCGCAAACAGTTGTTTAGAGAATTAAACTGGATAGCAAGCAGAGTCTCGCACCTGGCTCAGGAGAACCATCATTATTCCCATCATCGTTGTCATTGTAGTTAATATTTCACCATGTGTGCCCCTCTACTGAAAGTACTTGAAGCCTGATAACATATAGTTTTCATGACATTATAAGGTAAGACTAAAATTATTCCCACTTTAGAGGTGAGAAAACTGAGGCACAGAATATGAAGTAACTTGTAACTTCAAAGTTGCACGACTAATTTACTCAACACTTGTGAGCTCTCTGTACTTGATAGCTGGAGATCCTGATAAAATCTCATGCCCCAGGTCTTATTTCTTCCTAAACTTTATAGTTACAGTATGAGTTGAGCAGAACATCCTTGGAAATCGGTGACATCTTATGCTCTAAAAACAAGTTGAGTGCAAGTTACAAGGACCACGAATCTGGAGAGAGAGATTTATATCAGTCCCGTGTCAGACATACCCACCTTCTCCCAGAAGCTGAGCAGGTCAAGAGTGAGTCCCCACCCCACCCACTTAGGACAGTCCAGCCCAAACTCAAGGACTTTCAGGGACAGGGTATCCAAAAATCCTAATGAGTCATGGTATCTAGCATGAAGTAGTTTTGCTTCCTCGACATTTCTTTAATTTTTATATTAACTAAAATTTTTCTTTCTCTGCAAAATAAGCAGTATTTCTTCTTATGGTTTGTTTGTTCCCCTTGCCCCATCCCCACCCCCCCCCCAAAATATTCCCTTCCTCTTCTGCCTCCTTCAGCTCACTGAAGGGTTTGGCTGAGGAGATGGGAGCTAGGCGAACTCCACCACCCATTTGCTTTCCATTGCTTTTCTCCCCACAACACTGGGACATCTGTTTCCTTGTGTTGTTTGGAGTTTCACATGCATCCCTGTCCTTCTCATTCCATCTATCCAAGATGATTTCCTTGGGCAGTCAATTTGGCTGAGTCACAGAATTACAGACAGTCCTGCCTTAGCTTACTCTTAAAAGTCAACCAGGGCTTATCTTATATAAATGGAACAGTTTACTAGCCCAAAGAACTGACTCTAGATAAACCTCACTTAGTCTTTAGAAACATCAGCAATAACTCACTCTTAAGTAAGAGTGTGTTCAGACTGAGGACAGAAAATCTCCCCTGCAGAACCTGGAGCCCTTGACCTAGAAGAGCCCTCACTTCTGTGAGTAAATAAAGAGTGACATCACGATGTGATCCAGTAAGTGCTATTCCACAAATATGACAAACTGGGTCAAAATGATCAAAGTGGGGGTTGCATTATCACAGCCATTCTTAGAACAATGTAAAAAGCTTTTGAACAAGCCAAATGAAATGATGAAATTCTGCACTGGTTTCTAGTTATAAAAGGAATCTTCTATTGCACAGCATCTCAGAAAGCACAGAAATCCTCATCTCTGTTACCTTCTGACATCTGCTTCTAAAGGGCCATATGGGTCCCAATTCTCTTGTTAGTAACCTAATTATGCTCTGTGTAATTAAGGGGGCCTAGGCTTCCTGTACAAAATCAGTGTTAGATCTCCTTTATGTGGCAAAAACCAACACAGACCAGGTTGTGATATCAGCTTTTATCTGCTGCCAATAAACTTTAAAATTGCTTTAATAAAACTCAGAGAAAATGATGATTAAAAAAGAAAAGAATTGACTCTCTACTGGTAGGACATCAAAGGAGACATCTTGACATCCCAAAATCACACAGGGTAAAGCCAACCCTAGATCCATAGGGAAAAGGGCTTTCTCCAAAGGCATCCTCTCCACTGAAGCTATCTATTTGCTAAACAAGCCCTCTAATATATTACTCCATGAAAGAACTGGCAGATTTCCCCATGGAATTATGTTTTCTGAGAAATTCTTTTGTTAAGTGTTTTAGAAATCTCACCTCTGCTTTTGCTCCTGCCTCATCCCACTTTGAAGGATCTTCTATAGCTGGGATCTGAAGGCAAAGTTTTAATAAAAAGATAAAAGGATAGAGAAGAAAATGGGTTTGCTTATAAGTGGTTTGGTGTATTTCCAGCTTGGCAGTTTTATTTAAGATGGCGAAGAGCAAGCAACTACTCTAAAAAAAGATGTAAATCCAGAGAAAAAATATATTTTAAAAAATATATATAATATAGAATATTTTTAAAAAGATATTTGTATCTCACATGCATATTTAAGGACACTTTTTCCCTCCTCCTCCCACGCCCATTTTCTATTAGTCATATTTTCTAATATGACATTAACCACTATCAATGTGGTTCAAACTGTAAAGAGTCTGCCTACAATGCCAGAGATCCAGGATCCATCCCTGGGTTGGGAAAATCCCCTGGAGAAAGAAATGGCAACCCAGTCCAGTATTTTTGCCTGGAGGATCCCATGGACAGAGAGGAGCCTGGCGGGCTACAATCCGTGAGATCACAGAGTTAGACATGACTGAACGACTCATATGACATTAGGGTCTGAAAGGGAGCAGGACAAACCCTACACTATTCCCATCTGGTCATGCTGCACCCTAAAATCATAGGTACACAAGTTTTTTCATCATTAACTCCATTGCCTCACTATACCTAACAGTTCTAATCCTGAAAAACCATATGGAAATGAAATCTGGTTGTTCATGTCAGGCTGCAAATGCACCAAGACAGCTTGATGTTTTAAATGATCCATTTTATAAACAAAAGTATTTGATACAGACTAATTGTGCTTTAACCTCTCTTCAGTTCAGTTCAGTTCAGTCGCTCAGTCATGTCCGACTCTTTGCAACCCCATGAATCGCAGCACGCCAGGCCTCCCTGTCCATCACAAACTCCCGGAGTTTATTCAGACTCATGACCATCGAGTCGGTGATGCCATCCAGCCAGCTCATCCTCTGTCATCCCCTTCTCCTCCTGCCCCCAACCCCTCCCAGCATCAGGTCTTTTCCAATGAGTCAACTCTTCGCATGAGGTGGCCAAAGTATTGGAGTTTCAACTTCAGCATCAGTCCTTTCAATGATCAGCCAGGACCTATCTCCTTCAGGATGGACTGGTTGGATCTCCTTGCAGTCCAAGGGACTCTCGAGAGTCTTCTCCAACACCACAGTTCAAAAGCATCAATTTTTCAGTGCTCAGCTTTCTTCACAGTCCAACTCTCATATCCATACATGACCACTGGAAAAACCATAGCCTTGACCAGACGGATTTGTTGGCAAAGTAATGTCTCTGCTTTTTAATATGCTATGTAGGTTGGTCATAACTTTCCTTCCAAGGAGTAAGCGTCTTTTAATTTCATGGCTGCAGTCACCATCTGCAGTGATTTTGGAGCCCAAAAAAATAAAGTCTGACACTGTTTCCACTGTCTCCCCATCTATTTCCCATGAGGTGATGGGACCAGATGCCATGATCTTAGTTTTCTGAATGTTAAGCTTTAAGTCAACTTTTCCACTCTCCTCTTTCACTTTCATCAAGAGGCCATAAGGGTGGTGTCATCTGCATATCTGAGGTTATTGATATTTCTCCCGGCAATTTTAATTCCAGCTTGTGCCTCTTCCAGCCCAGCATTTCTCATGATGTACTCTGCATATAAGTTAAATAAGCAGGGTGACAATATACAGCCTTGATTAACCCCCCTCAAAACACTGTGCTCTACATAACATATATACAAGCTGATATTTTCCTTTCTATCAACCCAGAATTCCATTTACTTACAGTTTAAATTGGGGAACATCATCACAAATAATCAGTTTCCTTGATCATCTACTTTCTTTCATTTGTTCACTCAGTCATTGACAAACACTTCTTGAATCAAGGCGTGTACCCCAAGTGTATGTCACTGCTACCAAGTGTCAGGAGTTGAAGAGAGGAAAAAGTACAAATAAATACAACCTTGCCCTGAGGAAGATCATGGCTCAAT